AGCCCCTTAACCCCCCCGCCCCCTGCTGGTCCCCCTTTTTTTTTTTAACATTGGATGACTTTTTTAAAAAAAATTATTTATTTACTTTTATTTTTTTTCTTTTCTTTCAACAGAAATTTTCTATCATTTTCAGACCTACAGGGGTTTAAATTACATCCTTTGATGGTTTTCTTTTTTTTTTATTTGGAAAAATTTATACCCACAAACTTTTGACCTAGAAGTGGTACTGTGTAATATGGGTGGTGAGAGGACTCCCCTTTGATTAGGGGAGGGCCAGCTATGGGGCAGCTGGGGGAAGGGACGTGCTCAGCAGAGGGTGCAAAGTGCAAATATCAAGAGATGGAAGTGAGCCTAGCCTGCTGGGGGCCCCCCAGGGATGAATGGCTTCAGGGCTTGGGGCTTGGGCTATAGTTGGGGGTATTTGAAGGTGGTTGCTTCAGGGTCTTTAAGAGCCAGGTAAAGACCTGGAATTCAGAGGAGTGACATGAGTTGTGTTGTTCACACACCATTCTGGCTACCAGACAGCATGACTAGAAGCCATGAGTCTGGTTTGAAGGCCATTGTGAATAGATAAACAAATGATAGGGGTTTGCCCTAGAGAAGTTCCTTGAATTCCAGACTTATTTCCAAGGTAGAGGCAACAGGTTTGCTGGTGACTGCATATAAAATGGTATGACCAAGCTGTCATCTGCTGAGATGGACCGGATTAGGTGAAGAGCTTCATTTTGGGAATGGTACATGAGAGATCGTCTGTTGGACATTCAAATCCAGAGTTCAGGGGAATCATTAGGATTGGAGATATAAATCAAGTCAGTCACATTTAAAGCTATGCCTGGAGGGGCCAGCAGATGGCATGGTAGTTAAGGGTGCTAGACTCCCACATGACTGACCGTGGTTTGAGTCCCGGACCTGACAGCTTGCTTTCTCTCTTTATTTCTCTCTCTCTCTCTCACACACACACACACACACACACTCTGTCCATCTCTGGTCAAATTAAAATAAATACATTAATAAAGAAATAAAGTTAAATAAAAATAACTAAAAGCAATAAAGTCATGCCTGGACACTTCTGTAGTCTAGTGTATCTTAGGAGTAAATAGAACCAGTATTCTAATAGAGTCAACACTGAGTTTTTCAGGGAGTCAGCAGCACGAGACAGTGATGGGACTGCACTTGAATTCCAGCTCCATCAAGCCCTGGCTGTGTGACATTGTCAAAAGGACTGAACCTCTCTGAATCTGGGTTTTCCCGTGACTGAAGATTAAGTGAGGTGATCACTGTGAAGTACTTGGCATAAAATATGGCCATGAAAATGGTGGATGCTAGCTCCTTTTCCCATTATGAAGCCCTCTCGGTAGCTTTAATCGGAAACTCTTTCCATTAATTTTGTGTTGTTAAAAGACATAGAACACTTGAGTTGTAAGACCCCTGCTCCCCGTAGAAAATGGATTGGACTAGCCAGTTACTTTTCTTTCCAACTCCTGCAGTCATCCCCCCACACCCACCAATACAATAAACAAACAAAAATCCAGATCTCTTAAGGGATGTCAAGAAAACTTCCTGCTGGCTCCAAATTAATGGGAAAGTATAGAAAAGAAAGCACTTGGTAGAAAAATCTCATTTCTCTGTACCTTTATATTGGCGTGGAGAGCAGAAAAGCATACATATGTATGGAGCCTGAGCTATTTAGTGATTAATTTGAAATTTGGAGCAGGAGTTCATGAAGCACAAGTCTCTGTGTAACTTGCTTATTTTCAGACCACGTAAACCCCAATACCCAGTACACACTTGGAAGCGAGAAAAGTCTCTCCAGCATGGAGTCTTGTTAAAACTGCAAGAACAGCCTTTCGTGGGCCTTGGATACGTCCCTTGGACGTGATGGAATTAAGAGTCAGGGGGACTGTGGACGAACAGGATTTGTCCAAACGGTGACAGCTCATCCGTTTTAATTCTGGGGGCTTAGCTAGAGCTCGCCAGAATGGCCTTGCCAATCCATGGCTGGGTCACGCATGGCCTTCCCGGGCTCGGGGGCTTGAGAGGGGACGGGAACACCCTGGCCGGCGGGAGGCCTGGCCTGCCTGTTGTTCCGGCGCTCCCCCAGCTCGTTGGTAGTTAATTGGCTAGAAAGAAGCTACCATCTGCGAAGGCAGGTCGGACCATCTCTTTTTGGCAGTTCCTCAACACTGCATTTCATTCTCTCCGAATGCGCAAAGAGCACCTTGTGGGGATTTCCAAACCCCGGCGGCGAGGGCTTGGCTCGCGGGCCAAGGGGGCGGGCGATGCGTGGTTCCAGGCTTGTTAAGGAGCACATATTTCAGAGATGAAACAGCCGTCCTCCGTCCAAACAGATCCTGCCCGAGAAACTGCAAACACGGCTGTAAACGCGGCTCCCGCCGCCGGCCCGCGCGGGGCGGCCTTTAGAGATGAACCAGCCGTCCTCCGTCCAAACAGATCCTGCCCGAGAAACTGCAAACACGGCTGTAAACGCGGCTCCGGCAGCTGCCCGGCGGGGTGGGCCCGAGGGCGCTGGCAGGCTTCTCGGGGCTCCGCGGGCAGCGCCCCCTCCCGCACTCCCTGGGGCCTCCACCTGCTTCTAGCTACGGTGCTACCCCAGTGGAAACGGGAGCGCGTTCTCTTTTGACGAACAGGTTTCCTTTCCCACGTTTCTCAAACTTCAGCCTGTCCCCAGCAAGACGTTTCCAGGGCGGCTGGCGGGTGGGTCACGTGACCAACAAGGCGCTTCCTCCAGGGAGCCGCCTGCGGAGGTGCTGCGGGGTGGAGGCGTCACCAGGTGCCCGAGGAAAAGTGGATTCTGTGGTTAACTGACCTGGCAGCAGCTGTGAGAGGGTCCAGGCAACCTCCTAGGTTCCTTTCTGAGTTTATAGCTAAGTGACCTGGGAGAAGTGACCTCCTCTGAGTGGACTAGAGCCGTGTCACCTGTAAAGCAGGACCTTTGGTTCTGCTGGGTAATCAGAGTGAGACCCAGGGGCCGCCTGTGCTCACATCCCTGGCACGAGGTGAGAGCCGTCTCAGGCACGCCTGGCTGCTGAGGCCGCACCTGCGGTAACAGCCCGGGGGGTGTGCACAGCGCTGTGAGAAGCTCTGCCTAAGAGGGCGCGGGTCTGAGGCAGATATCTCCCCAGCTTACTTCCAGCTCCAAGACCCAGCCTTCCCTGATTCTCGGGCTTCTCTAGGCCCAGGAGTGCTGGCAGCAGGGGTCAGGCAGGGGAAGGAGCCAGCCCAGAGAGACACAGTGAGAGAAACTTGCCATGAGGCGGCTCCATCCTGTTAGCCCCCAAACTTCCCAGGCACAGCTGCTCTGCTGCGTGCCCTGCTGGGTGACGCTCTGTCTTAGGGACCCTCAGCCTTGGCACTGGTAACCGACAGATGCGTCTTCATGGTGCGCACATCCCACACACTGTGGCATCCCTGGGCTCCACCCACCAGATGCCAGGAGCACCCACCGGTCCCCCGTTGTGACTACCCAAACTGTGTCCTTGACATGGACTGTGGCACTTGACATCACCAAATGTCCTGGCGGGGGGTAGGGGGCAGCTGTGCATGCCCCTGTCCCCACTCTTAACTGTACAGAAGAGAGCGTTGTTATTTACCGAGCGTGGGGAAAGGAGCACACTTTGGTGATGTTTTGGTGGGTTTTCCATAAGGCTGTGTGGAAATCCCTAGTGTTAGGCAAAGACCGTGGAGACTGTCCACCTGCCTGGTGTTTCCACATGGCTGGGGGCGGGAAGGGTTCCTCGGCCTTTAAACAGAAAGCAACAGTTGAAGGGTGGCAGGGCCAGAGGCCGCGTCTGCTTCTCTCTGAGACCCTAATGGTGAACCACGGAGTGCAGGCATCCTATCGGGGCGTAGGTCTCATGGCAGTTGGTGACATCGGTGTGGTTGACTTCACTTTCAACTGTCCATGTGACCCATCCCACCCCCTCCTCCCTCAGCTGCCTCACGCTCAGACCATACACCCAAGCCTGGTAGGAATCACTCTTTGCTTGTTACAGCTCACTGGCCAGATTCCCAGTTGCTTTCCCAAGTCGACTCAGTATTTGTGTGTCCTAACTGGAAACTTAGGGCAGTGGCCAGCAAAGGAAAGCATGCGGCCAGACTCTGCCTGCCACCTGATTGTGTAGATGCAGTTCATGGGGACCCAGGCCCGCCCTTCTGCGTCGTGTTGTTTGCGGCTGCGCCTTTACTTGCTCATTTCCCCACTAGCTGCTTTTGTGCTACGCGGCAGAGTTATTTGCGACAGAGACGCCTGGTCTGCAAAGCCTAAAATATTTACCATCAGGTCTT